GCAGCCACTGGAGTGAATGTTGAATGGGAGTAATGTGTGTGCTCCGTTTAGCTTCTGATAATAGTCAAGAATTCTGCACCAAATGGAGTTTCCGGATGGATTCTGAAGGGAGACCAATGTACAGTGCATTATAGCAGTCTAGTCTCGTTACCATGGCAAGGATCCAGGTGGCCATGTATGTATGACAGCCAGTTTGGCGTAGTGGTTGAGTGCACAAACTCTAATCTGGGAGACCCAGGTTTGATTCCCCACTCCTCCACATGCAACTGCTGGGTGACTTTGGGTCACTTACGAATTATTTCAGAGCTGTTCTCTCAAGGACAGTCCTTGAAAGAGCTCTCTCAGCCCCGCCTACCTCACAGGGTGTCTGTTGTGGGGAGGGGAAGGGAAAGGAGTTTGTAAGGCGCTCTGAGACTCCTTTGGGTAGTGAAGGACAGGGTATATAATCCAATTTCCTCCTCCTCCCTTGTTTTAAATTTCTAGCTGTCTTGGTGGCCCTTGTGAGGGCAGAAAGGTGGGATACAAATTTTGTAAATAAAAATAACCACGGTCTTTAAGGTGCCACCAGACTCTTTTGTTGTTGTTGTTGTTCAGTCGCACAGTCGCGTCCGACTCTTTGCGACCCCATGGACCAGATCACGCCAGGCCCTCCTGTCTTCCGCCGTCCTCTGAAGTTGGCTCAACTTCATGTTCGTTGCATCTATGACACTGTCTAGCCATCTCATCCTCTGCCTTCCCCGTCTCCTTTGACCTTCAATCTTTCCCAGCATCAGGGTCTTCTCCAGTGAGGACTCCCTTCTCATTGGGTGGCCAAAGTATTTGAGCTTCAGTTTCATTATCTGGCCTTCCAGGGAACAGTCAGGGTTGATTTATTTTATGATTGACTGATTTGATCTTCTTGCAGTCCAAGGGACTCTCAAGAGTCCAGACTCTTACTTCTGATCAAATAGTGCTTTACAATGAGTTTCTGCACCTGATGTTTGCGTAAGGAAATTGATTCCTGTTCACTATCTGAAGCTCTTTTTGACCAAGGATGCATTTTTCAAAATATATTTCCACAAGGCGTGAGAACTGAAACAGATTCAGACCACATGGAGAAAGAACAGATGGACAGGTGGGATTATGATTGTGGAATGGGGAATGTATTGAACTAATGACTCACAGATATGTGGCGGAATGTTGGCCACAGTCTGAATCCCAAATATCATTGAGGGCTAGCGACTCATATAATATAATGCACTGGCCACGTTAACATACTCGCCCGCCGGACTATTGTTAACATGCTCTATGTGGAGTGGCCTTTGAAAAATTCTCAGATATTCCCAGCGCAAACTTGAGTGCAGTTACATCCTTCTAAGCCCACTGAAGTCGATGGGCTTCTGAGCTTTTGCATTAAGTGCCCTCAAGTTGCTTACAACTTCTGGCGACCCTATGAATTAATGACCTCCAAAACATCAATGGTTTAAGGAAGGTTAAGACGCTGAACTGCAGGCTGTGGAAGGTCAGTAGTTCAGCAGTTCGAGACCCGGGTGCCGCATGATGGAGTGAGCTCCCATCTCTAGTTCCAGCTCCTGCCAACCTAGCAGTTGGAAAGCAAGAAATTGCAAGTAGATAAATAGGCACCACTTCGGTGGGAAGGTAGCAGCGTTCCGTGCGCCTTGACGTTTAGTCATGCCGGCCACATGACCACGGAAATGTCTTCGGACAGCGCTGGCTCTTCGGCTTTGAAACGGAGATGAGCACCGCAACCCTAGAGTCGGACTCGACTGGCTTTCGAGCAAGGGAACCTTTACCTTTAACTCTGCTCCAGATTGCACTGTCCAATCAGGCTCAATCCGCGCCGACCCAGCGATCAATCGTAGCGAACCACTTTCACTTCCCTTGCGAAAGTTGGCCTCTTTGCCAACATTCCATTGCTGACAATGAATTCTCAGGGACGAAAGTTTGTAAACATACATTCCCTAACCAGGACTAAGCAGGGCTCAACCTGCTACTGGGGAGAAGAGCAGGGTATAAACACCTAAAGTAACAATTCTTCAGTATATCAAAGTAGACACAGTATGCAAAACATGCATGTCGGGAAGGAGCAGTTCCCTTAAGAGACTGAGTAATGAGCTAGGGACAGCTACTGCAATTAATTTAAAGAAATGTCAACAATGAGTTAATTAAAATATTTCCGTCTCCTCCTTCCCCTACTCAAAGGGCTCAAGGGAGTTTAGCACACCCTGCATAACTCATTAGCATAACTTATTTGCATATGCCACACACCCTGACATCACCGGAAGTGTGTCAGAAGGCAACACCCACCGCTCAGGCTCCACTGGACTGTTTTGGATTGCTAGCTATTGGGGGGGGGACGTGCAGATCTGCCCTCGCAGAGGAAGGAGAGCTTGTACCTGAATAAAACCTGGTCTTAAAGGTGTCACTGGACTGTTTTGGACTGGGGGCCGGGGAGGGTGTCTCTGCAACTTACCCGGCTGCTTCTTGGTCTGACTGAGGGCTGCTGGGAGCAGAGGGGGCAGGGCTTGTTGCATGTGCCCGCCCCCTGGGCTCTTTACTGCCAGAGCTCCGCTCCTGTGCGCTCCTGCAGGAAATGACCCCTGGCTGTTGACCGTTTGCTTTCCCCTCTCTTCATGACTGTCACACAGTTGGCTGACAGGGACAGTAAAGTCAAAGGTTTCCCTTGCTCGAAAGCTAGTCAAATCCAAAAGCTAGTCAAATCCGACTCAAGGGGGCAGGGCTCATCTCGGTGGGAAGGGAACAGCGTTCCGTGCGCCTTGGTGTTTAGTCATGCCGGCCACATGACCACGGAAACGTCTTCGGACAGCGCTGGCTCTTCGGCTTTGAAACGGAGATGAGCACCGCAACCCTAGAGTCAGACTCGGCTGGCTTCCGAGCAAGGGAGACCTTTCCCTTTCCCGTCCTCAAAATAAGGCGTGTGCCTTAAAATACGGAACGCCCCCCCCCTTCCTAAGGGCGCTCGTGCCAAAGAAGAAGAAGAAGAGGAGGAGAAGAGATTGGATTTATACCCCGCCCTTCACTTGGAGTCTCAGAGCGGCTTACAAACTCCTTTCCCTTCCCCTCCCCACAACAGACACCCTGTGAGCAGTGTTCCCTCTAAGCTGAATTAGTGTGAGCTAGCTCACAGTTTTTTAGCCTCCAGCTCACACATTTTTGTCTAAGCTCAGGAAAGAGGCTCCAGAGCAAACTAATTCATGCAGTAGCCAAATCGCTTGCTCACAACTATAAAGCCAGTAGCTCACAAAGTAGAATTTTTGCTCACAAGACTTCACAGCTTAGAGGGAACATTGCCTGTGAGGTGGGTGGGGCTGAGAGAGCTCTGACACAAACTGCTCTTTTTCAAGGACAGCTGTGCCAGAGCTTGTGACTGACCCAAGGTCACATCAGCAGGTGCCAGTGGAGGAGTGGGGAATCAAACCCGGTTCTCCCAGATTAGATTCCGGGCACTTAACCACTACACCAAACTGGCTCTCTCAGAGCGGCTGACAAACTCCTTTCCCTTCCCCTCCCCACAACAGACACCCTGTGAGGTGGGTGGGGCTGAGAGAACTCTGACAGAGACTGCCCTTTTTCAAGGACAGCTGTGCCAGAGCTTGTGACTGACCCAAGGTCACCCAGTAGCTGCATGTGGAGGAGTGGGGAATCAAACCCGGTTCTCCCAGATTTGAGTCCGCACACTTAACCACGACACCAAACTGCCCGCCACCCGACCACCTGCCCGCCAGACCAGCGCGCCCCCCCCCGCGATGACATCACGCCGACGTCCGGGGCCCCGCCCCGCGCACGCGAGGACGGGACAGCCTTTCGTCCCCAGAAGGGCTTAGCCGCGCCTCGCCTCGCCTGTCATTCCCCGCTCCGCTCCAGCCACGGATGGCCAAGCTGGGGGAGAGAGGCGAGCGGAGGCGCCGAAAATAAAGCGCCAATGGCCGCCTGGCTGGCTGGAAGCCGGCGCCCTCCCTCCGCCGCGTTCCCATCCGGGGCCAAAAAAAGCCGGGCCTTTCTGTCCACTTAAAAGGGCGGCGGACACACACACGGTTCCAGCTCCCGCCCTTTTTTGAGGGGGAGGCCTTCAGTCCCCCCCCCCCCGATTATTCTGTCAGATGTCTTTCAAGGATCCTGAAGGAGAAGAAGAATGCTGCCAAGATGCGGCCTCCTCCCCGGTCCTCCAAAAACGCCGCGTTACGGCAGTAACCTCTCCGCTTTTAAACACCCCCTGTTTGGTGTCAACCCCGGGGGAACCCTCCCCGCTTGTGGTTTTCAAGGACCCTGAAGGAGAAGAAGAATGCTGCCAAGATGCGGCCTCCTCCCCGGTCCTCCAAAAACGCCGCGTTACGGCAGTAACCTCTCCGCTTTTAAACACCCCCTGTTTGGTGTCAACCCCGGGGGAACCCTCCCCGCTTGTGGCCGCGCTCCGCCGCCGGCTGGCTTTAAATCCCCCACGGCCCGTTCCACGAGCCGCCTCCCAGCGGGGGGGAGAAAGTCGAGATGGGAAGCACCACTTTGGCTCTCCCGGGCGGGGGGCGGCGGCTGTGATTGGTGGAGAGCCCTCCCTTCCCCCCCCCAGGGAGGGGGGAAATCTGATTATCTGTGGTAACCGCAAGGCAACCTTCCCCCGGCTTGTGGCCGCGCCGAGCAGCCGGCTGGGTTTATATCCCCCACGGCGCGTTCCACGAGCCGGCGCCAAATGGGGGACGCCGAGATGGGAAGCACCACTGCGGCTCTCCCAGGCGGGGGGCGGCGGCGGCTCTGATTGGCGGAGAGCCCCCCTCCCCGAGGAGGGGGGGTAGTCCGGGGCTGAGCTCAGACCGCTTTTGGCTTGCATCAGCCTCGCGCGGGTGGGAGGAGCGGCGCGGCGCGCGAGCCGGGTCGCTGTCGCCGGCCGTGCGTAAAAGGCGCGAGGCGCACGTCGGGCTCCGGCTTTGGCGCGCGCCGCTTCGCCTTCCCTTCGCTCGCTGAGGCAGCCCGCGGCCGGCGGCGTGATGGCGAAGCCCTGCGAGAACGGCTACTTGGAGGGCGGCTTGGAGGAGGCGTCCCCGCGGCGCCCCCGCCTGCGGCTCTGCCGGCCTCGCTCCTGCGGGCGCTTCCTGCGGCGGCACTGCCTGGTGCTGCTGACCGTCTCCGGCGTGCTGCTGGGGCTGGGCCTGGGCGCCGGCGCGCGGCGGCTGCGCCTCTCCCGCGCCCAGGTGGCCTACCTGGCCTTCCCGGGCGAGATGCTGCTGCGCATGCTCAAGATGGTCATCCTCCCGCTGGTCGTCTGCAGCCTGGTCTCCGGCGCCGCCAGCCTCGACACCCGCTCGCTCGGCCGCCTGGGCGGCGTCGCCCTCGCCTACTTCTTGCTCACCACCCTCGGCGCCGCCGCCCTGGCCCTCGCCCTCGGCTTCATCATCCAGCCCGGCCGCGGCGCCGGCGCCCTCAACTCCCACGCCCTCGGCCTCGACGGCGCCCTGCCCGCCAGCAAGGAGACCGTCGACTCCTTCCTCGACCTGGCCAGGTAAGCGCCCAGCCCGACGCCGCCGGGATCGGGGCCGGTGTTCCCTCTAAGCCGAGCGAGTGCGAGCCGGCTCACAGGTTTTTAGCCTGCCGGCTCGCACAGTTGTGTCTGAGCTCAGAAGGGTACCAGGCAGTGTTCCCTCTAAGCTGAGTTAGTGTGAGCTAGCTCACAGTTTTTTAGCCTCCAGCTCACACATTTTTGTTTTCGCTCAGGAAGGAGGGCTCCAGAGCAATGTTCCCTCTAAGCTGTGGAGTCTTGTGAGCAAAAATTCTACTTTGTGAGCTACTGGCATTAAAGTTGTGAGCGAGCAATTTGGCTACTGCATAAATGAGTTTGCTCTGGAGTTATCCTTCCTGAGCTAAGACAAAAATGTGTGAGCCGGAGGCTAAAAAACCGTGAGCTAGCTCACACTAACTCAGCTTAGAGGGAACACTGCTCCAGAGCAAACTAATTTCCGCAGTAGCCAAAATCGCCTGCTCACAACTTTATTGCTAGTAGCTCACAAAGTAGAATCTTTGCTCACAAGACTCCACAGCTTAGAGGGAACACTGCTCCAGAGCAAACTAATTTCCGCAGTAGCCAAAATCGCCTGCTCACAACTTTATTGCTAGTAGCTCACAAAGTAGAATCTTTGCTCACAAGACTCCACAGCTTAGAGGGAACACTGCTCCAGAGCAAACTAATTTCCGCAGTAGCCAAAATCGCCTGCTCACAACTTTATTGCTAGTAGCTCACAAAGTAGAATCTTTGCTCACAAGACTCCACAGCTTAGAGGGAACACTGGTACCAGGTGCCATCAGGAGGTCTGGCCCCGCTGCTGGGTCTCCTGATCGATGCTCCCTCTAAGCTGCGGAGTCCTGTGAGCAAAAATTCCACTTTGGGAGCGGCTGGCATTAAAGTTCTGAGTGAGCAGTTTGGCTGCTGCATGAATTGGCTTGCTCTAGAGCAATGCTCCCTTTAAGCCATGGAGTCCTGTGAGCAAGAATTCCGCTTTGTGAGCGACTGCCATTGACGTTGTGAGCCAGCCGTTTGGCTGCTGCATAAATGAGTTTGCTCTGGAACCATGCTCCCTCTACACTGCGGAGTCTTGTGAGCAAAAATTCTACTCCGTGAGCGACTGACATTCAAGTCGTGAGCAAGCGATTCGGCTACTGCATAAATCAGTTTGCTTTGGAGCCATCTTTCCTGAGCTAAGGGAAAATTGTATGAGCTGAAGGCTAAAGAACTGTGAGCTAGCTCACACTAACTCAGCTTAGAGGGATCACTGCTCTGGAGCCCTCCTTCCTGAGCTAAGACCGAAATGTGTGAGACGGAGGCTAAAAAACTGAGCTAGCTCACACTCACTCAGCTTAGAGGGAACACTGCTCCTGACGGGACCTGGTATTTTTGGCCACTGTGTGACAGAGTGTTGGATTGGATGGGCCATTGGCCTGATCCAACATTGGCTTCTCTTATGTTCTTAAGGACGGCTCCAGAGCACACCAACTGACGCAGCAGCCGAATCACTCGCTCACAGCTTTAATGCCAGCAGCTCACAAAGTAGAATTTTTGCTCATGAGACTCTACAGCTTAGAGAGAGCATTGGTCGGGGCCCGGGAAGAAGGAACCATTGGCCAGGCCGCCCCAAAGCAACAGCTGGACGTCTGTCCATCTGTTTGATGGAAACAGCTGGAGGCCTGGCTATCTTCCGCTCCGTGCATCTGATGAAGAGCACTGTGTTTCTTGAAAGCTTACCCTACAAGAAAGTTTGCTAGTCCCAAGGGTGCTACTGGGCTTTTTGCTGTCTATCCAAAATCGCCTTTGAGACCAGCAAGAGTTTTCAGGGTGTGTGTGTGTGGGCTTTTCAGAGTCAAAACTCCCTTCGTCAGAGACAAGCGGGAATGGAGGTCTGTGGGTCCTTTTATAATAATAATAATAATAACAATTAGCAATAGCTGCTTTATACTGTCAGACTCTTGGTCCATCAAGGTCAATATTGTCTACTCAAGATTGGTAGCAGCTCTCTAGGGTCTCAGGCTGAGGTCTTTCACATCACCACCTGCCTGGTTTTTTTTATCCGACGTTGCCAGCGATTGAACCTGGGACCTCTTACATGGCAAGTAGATGCTCTGCCACTGAGCCACAGCCCCCTCTACAGCACTCCAGGGTCTTAGGCAGAGATCTTTCACATCATCTACCGACTGGTCCTGTTAACTGGCGATGCCGGGGATTGAACCTGGAACTCTCTGCAATACCAAGCAGATGCTCTACCACTGAGCCACTTAGATCTTTCATATCACCTCCTGCCTGGTCCTTTTAACTGGTGATGCCGGGGATTGAACCTGGAACCCTCTGCAATACCAAGCAGATGCTCTACCACTGAGCCACTTAGGTCTTTCATACCACCTCCTGCCTGGTCCTTTTAACTAGGGACTGAACCTGGGACCTTCTGCATGCCGAGCAGATGCTCTAATGTTGAGCTACGGCCCCACCCAAAAAGCATAATACTTGAAGCTGCCTTACACAGAACCAGACCGTTAATCTCCTGGCGTCAGTCTTGTCTACTCAGACTGGCAGCCGCTCTCCAGGGTCTCAGGCAGAGGTCTTTCCCATCACCTATTGCATTGTGCTTTTTAACTGGAGATGCCGGGGACTGAACCTGGGACCTTCTGCATGCCGAGCAGAGTCTCTTCAAGGGAGCCACAGCCCCTCCCTGCAGGAAGGACTCAGGAAGCAAAAGTGCCATGCATGTTATAAACAGCTTGGATAGAGCAGAGGGGGGCAGAAGATTAGTCTCTGTAGTGAGATAGACTACATCGGAGTCCAGTAGTACACTGGAGACCAGCAAGGTTTTTGGGAGAGGTATGAGTTTTCGAGAGTCCAAACTCCCTTCGTCAGATACAAGCAGGGATGGAGACCTCTGAGTCCTTACATCCCAGTCAGAAGGTGGGAAGGGTGTTGCAGAGAAGGAACTCAGGATGCAGAGGTACCATGCATGTTGTAATCCGAATAAAGCAGAGGAGAAATTATAGTGTGTGTTGTACCTCTGCGTCCTGAGTTCCTACTTTGCAAAGCTTTGACTTTCAAAAGCTCACGCATGGAAGATCTTGTTGGTTTCTTGGCCGCAGGGCTCAATTTATAGCTCTTGGAGGGCGGACCAACACAGCTACCCTCTGAGACTAGCACCAAGTAAAAAAACCTAAAACCCAAAACATGATGCAGTCCAGTGCCATTTATTGGCACCGCACAGCGTGCAAGCTTTCCGCTTCCTCCAGAACTCTTTTTCAGGCTCGGAGGCTGTTTGTTGTGTCACAAAATCATCATCATCATTGTGTGCCGATAATAACAATTGTGTGTCATCAAGTCACAGCCGACTCCTGGCGACTCAGGACCAGATCGCAGTTCCCCCGGTGGAGGGCGGACCAACACAGCTACCCTCTGAGACTAGCACCAAGTGAAAAAACCTAAAACCCAAAACGTGATGCAGTCCAGTGCCATTTATTGGGTCAGACCGGTTGGCACCGCACAGCATGCGAGCCTTCCGCTTCCTCCAGAACTCTTTTTCAGGCTTGGAGGCTGTTTGTGTGTCACAAAATCATCATCATCATTGTGTGCCGATAATAATACCGTAATTGTTCCCCTGCCTCTGCATAGCAACCCTTGGTGGTCTCCCACCCAAGCACTAACTGAGGCTGACCCCGCTTAGCTTCTGAGGACTGATGAGACTGGACTAGCCTGGGCCATCCAGGTCAAGGCAAGAGACCAACCGAGGTGGTTTGCCCATCCCCTGCCTCTGCATAGCAACCCTTGGTGGTCTCCCACCCAAGCACTAACTGAGGCTGACCCCGCTTAGCTTCTGAGGACTGATGAGACTGGACTAGCCTGGGCCATCCAGGTCAAGGCAAGAGACCAACCGAGGTGGTTTGCCCATCCCCTGCCTCTGCATAGCAACCCTTGGTGGTCTCCCACCCAAGCACTAACTGAGGCTGACCCCGCTTAGCTTCTGAGGACTGATGAGACTGGACTAGCCTGGGCCATCCAGGTCAAGGCAAGAGACCAACCGAGGTGGTTTGCCCATCCCCTGCCTCTGCATAGCAACCCTTGGTGGTCTCCCACCCAAGCACTAACTGAGGCTGACCCCGCTTAGCTTCTGAGGACTGATGAGACTGGACTAGCCTGGGCCATCCAGGTCAAGGCAAGAGACCAACCGAGGTGGTTTGCCCATCCCCTGCCTCTGCATAGCAACCCTTGGTGGTCTCCCACCCAAGCACTAACTGAGGCTGACCCCGCTTAGCTTCTGAGGACTGATGAGACTGGACTAGCCTGGGCCATCCAGGTCAAGGCAAGAGACCAACCGAGGTGGTTTCCCATGGGCTGCCTCTACGTAGCAACCCTGGACTTCCTTGGTGGTCTCCCATCCAAGTTCTGACCACCACCAGCCTTGCTTAGCTGACAAGATTGGCCTGTTCAGACTGTTGGTCGGCCCTAGTAAAAGGTGTCATGTGAATTTTGTCCTGGTGAGGTAAGCCAGGGCTGTTTGCATTGCTGTCTAGGGATGTGGGGAAGAGCACCAAAAGGGAAGCCAAAAGACACAGGACTCAAATATCTTCTAGGGGACGAGTGCAAACGGCCAAGTCCACAGCAACAAGTATCACAGAGTGCAAGCCTATGTGTGTGCCTGCTCTGAAGTAAACTCCATTATGTTCCGTTGGGTACGTGTGCAGTTGTAGTCTGATGCTGGCCAAAAGTCTAGTGATTCCTTTAAAAAAAAAATGCATCTGTTGTGGCGCTTCTTTCTGTGGGCGGGTGAAAAGCTTACTCACTTTCCTTGGATCCGCTGATAAGTTTGTTTGCTTCAGACTTGAAAGGTTGCATGATGTTCCATGTTGTTTTGGTTGGTTAGTCAAAGGAATTGCACGGATTTTCCTTATTCGGGTGGGGTCACCATGTTGGTCTGAAGCAATAGAATGTGGGGAAGAGCACCAAAAGGGAAGCCAAAAGACACAGGACTCAAATATCTT